ACGCCTGAATTATGTTCCCCCAATATCCATATGTTGAAGCCCCCAGACCCAGGACCTCAGAATGTAACTGTGTTTGGAGATAGGACCTTTAAAAGTTCTATCAGGTTATACACACGTGCTAGTCCAATCTGACTGGTGTTCTTAGAAGAGGAGGGAAAGATACCAGAAATTCCTGCCCATGGAGGAAAGGCCAGGTGAGGGGACAGTGAGCAGAGGCCGCCTGCAGGGTGAGGAGCAGCCTCAGGAGAAGCCACACCTGCTGGCATATCGATCTTGGACTCCCAGCATCCAGAACCGTGAGAAAATAAAATTTTATTGTTTCACCCACTTAGTCTTAAACAACAAACTAATACCAGAAGAACTAGATGCTAGGCGGGAGTGTACTCGCCCGGTCCCCGCCCCTGGCCACCCATGGCATGACAGCCAGTTCTATCAGAAGAACATAATATCTGAGTTTTTACTACCCAGCAGGATCCTTTACAGAGAGGCTGGAGATCAGCTGGGGAAAGGGTTTTTCTGAGAATAAAAGGGAAATTGAGTGTCAATTAAACAGTGATGGACAATAGTCAAACTAGTGGCAGATATCAACTAGGTCTGTTTATTTTTTGCCATACAATGTACCTTATAATCAAGATTATTATCCAGCAATTACTCATTTTTCCCTTATTTTAACAGCTAACAACTTATGAACAAATTTCATCAACTAGATTGCTGGTCAACAGTGTATGGGCATTTTTTTTTTTTTTTTTGAGGCAGAGCCTCAAGCTGTCACCCTGGGTAGAGTTCTGTGACATCACTCTACCAACTCCTGGCTCAAGCGAGTCTCTTGCCTTAGCCTTCCAAGTAGCTGGGACCACAGGCGCCCGCCACAACGCCCGGCTATTTTTTGGTTGCAGTTGTCATTGTTATTTGTCAGGCCCGGGCTGGATTCGAACCCACCACCTTAGGTGTATGTGGCTGGCGCCTTAGCCATTTGATTCACAGGCGCCGAGCCAGCGTATGGGCTTCTGCTAGCTCGCCTCAGTTTCAGTCTTGTCCTGCCACTTCCGAGCTATGGAGATGTAGGGCAGATTACCTCCTTGTGCTTTAGTCTCTTCATCTGTACAGTGGAGATAATAGTGTTTACTTGATAAGGTTGTGTGAAAATCAAGTGAGTTAATATATGCAGAGTGCTTAGAAGGATGCCTAATATATAAATGTAAGCCATTTGTTAGTAAATGTTAACTATTGTATTTCAACCTTGGTCTATCTCTGCTCATGGTTAACTGATAGCAGAATCATTGTACCTGCATGGTTCCACCAAGATACCTGCCACCAGGTGCCAGCTGCCCCCCAAATTGCCAGCATAGTAGTAAAGGAAAAGAAGTGGCCTAGAAAACAGGAGCTATTAAATCTCACTGTGTAGTCATTCAGAATGCTGACAAAAATACAGACGCCTTGGCCTAATCCCCAGAGATTCTGATCCACTAAGTTGGGGTGGTGCCCAGAAATCTTGTCAGTAGGCACCTTGCGTAATTAAATTATGATACAGGTGATTCTCAGATTACTCACTGAGAAATACTAATCAAAGTACTTATAGTCAAAGCTATTATAATAAAAGTCATAACTAATCATAAGTCTATAATATTCACCTAAAGTATGATGTTTAAATAAAACTAACTTAGGTGGATGAGTATGTAAAGTTACTTCTGAAAATCATCTGGAAGATAATTTTCATGAGTGTTAGTAAGAGGGTGGTATTGATCAAGCTGGAGAAGAAATTCTGAATTGATGTAACTCTCAGTTTCCTCATAGACAGATTATCTCCAGTTGGGTCATTCAAGGTCAGAACGATCATCCATGGCTCCCCTCAGGGTTGTGGCCTGCCTACATCAACTGAGCTGAGCATAGATGGAGACGGAGGGCCTTGGGGAAAGGGAAATAGCTGCGTGAAGGGTCAGAGAAGTTGCTTGGGCTTTCTCACCCACGGGAAGGTGCAGTGTGTTCCCAGATAGCCGGAACACTGTACAGTGATGTCATGCTTCTGTAACTGCTGCTTGGCAGATTGCTACTTTCGTTCCTCTGGGTACAGAGGTGTACAGGACCTTCCCCTTGTGTGGACTGCAGATGACAGAAACATAGATTGTGGATGATCTATGTAACTCAGCTTCCTGGCCACCCAGAGCTAGATAAGGGCAGACCTCCCATGGTGCAACCAGCCACCTGTAAGCTGAATAAAACATGTTACACCTGCCCTCCATGCCTGGTTTCTCTCTGGTGTGTCCAAATCAGAACACTGGCATTACTGATGGGTAAGTGCTGGGCTCATGAGGATGGCTGGGAAAAGTGTAGCCTCAACCTGAAACTGAGCAGTTTAGCCTGGAGTTTGACAAAGTATGACAGCGTTCCCTAAGGTCAGAACAAAGAGTGGTTGATGTTGAACTTGGGGATAACTTTGAAACTGAAAAACTTGATTGTTGTATAATGGAGAATTCCTAAAATCTGTACACCTGTTAATTACGGGGCTGCAGTTTATAGGTAATTGTTCTTTCTCATTGATCAAGTTGCTATGCTCGCTAAGCAGTGACTGCTCAGGTGGGTGAGAGTGGTCATTACTGAGGAAATAAAGCTCTGGTCCGAAGAGGAGAAACTCCAGATTCATTGAGCAAGCTGTGCAGGAACTTACTGGGGCTAATGTGAAGAGCTTTCTGCATGAAGGAAAGGTATGGTGATAGTCTCCGGAGCTTGCAGCCAGTGTGCGTAGCTCCTCTAAGTGTTCTTAGCGTGTTAGAAGGAAAGTTTCTTGGTTATCCACCAGTGTCATCAGTACAATGCTTCTTTTCAGAAAAAAATAATTGGTTTCAACAAAGTTGAATAATACTGACAATACTGATGTTATTTACCTTTGAAAGCTTTCAAACTGGATTCCATGAAATCTTTGTGCTGCTTTTAAGATAAAAAGCTACTTGGTTACTGTTCGTTGGTTCATTGATTCTTTTCCCTTCACTTAAAATAACTGAAGAACATTTAGTAAGAACTCAAAATTAAGGTTACTGGCCTTATACTCTTGGGGCCATATATTACACTGAAATACCTCTGCATCTCTCTGGTTGTTATTCTACATAACTTAGAATTTATGACATATATATGCCATAAGCTATTTGTAAGTTAAAGTGCCTCAGCTTTTTTATTAATGCAACTGTTTTTTTAAATGTTTTGATTCAAGTTCACCACAGTGAATCTCTCAACATATATCTCATTCCTGAAATACAAGACATCTATGTAGACAGGTGTTTTTGTTTAAACTGTAACTACATCCTCTCTGCCACCTGAAAGCTTTTTGTGATATTACTGTAGTCCCATTTAATCTGAACATTTGCATCACCTCTGTGAGTTGAGACATTATGATACCATCAAGCTAACTGCCCTGAGCTATTTTAAAATATTATTCCTTATTATAAAAACACTATATATTTACTGGCGAATATTCGAAAATGGTGGAAAACATAATGGAAGAAAAAGTCCTCCACAGTTCTACTCGGCCATAACTGCTATTAAAACCTCACCGACTAGTCTTTTGGTCAATACCCCTCTCTCTGTATATGTATAAAGACATAACATATCATCCAATTATATGTGATCATAGGCATTTTTTTTCACTGAACATAGCTGTATTAACATTTCCAAGTATTAAAAATTCTTCAAAAAAATTGTATAGACTGCGTAGATAGTATTCTATCTTATGCTTTACCCATATTAAAGATTATTTTGAACCTGTTGCTACCATCCATAATATCAATCCTCCTTGTACAGAAATATTTTAACTCATTTCCTTAACACAAAGTAAGGAAAGATGAGTTACCAAAAAGACAGTAACGTCTGTAGGAATCTTGGTACATTTTCATCAGATTGCCCCCTGGAAGCTACTTGTTTGCATCCCTGTTAGCCGAGCGTCAGCGCCTGTCCCGCCACAGCGCTTCCAAGAATGAATGTTAACTGTAACACACATATGAGAGTGAGAGAAGATGTCCTGTTGCTGTTATGCACTTTCCTTTTATTACTACCGAGGTGGGACGTCTCCTGGTGGTTGGCCCATCATCTTAAGAAGAGAAACGTTTTCTTTGGGAAACTTGAGACGAACCCACGATGACGATTCACAAGGAACCCCACTGCGTTGGCTTCTTCAAAGTTGTACTAATTCTCAACCTCCTGGAGTCCACTCAGGGAACTTCTCTTAATGAAGGAAACTGTATTATCATCATAAAGAGCCCAGGCTTCTTTGTATGACCAATTCTACGCTTGCCCTGCCGTTTGGTCTTGTGTAACCTGAAGTAGTTACTTAACCTCCCTAAGCTTCAGTTTCTTAAGCTATAAAACAGGGGTGATAATGAGCTAGGGATTACTCAAGGTTTCAATAACAGGTCGCCATTATTAAAAATGGGAAATGTTTCCTAATTGCAACATAGGCCCTGTACACGTAACAAGGTGTGATAGCACAACACCCATAGAAACCAGAACTTTTCAAGTCCCAACAAGTGGCAGGTTTCACTTCATATGATTGTTTAAGCTTAGTAGAGGAGCAGCACGATAATGGGCCTTTTCCAAGTGGGGCTCCGGGGCTTTGGCTATGAGATGGCTTGGGCTGCCAGCCCAAGAATGGCCTCAGAATGTTTCCGGACACGGAGCGTCTGGCACTTAGTACTTTAGAAAGTTGCCCCCAAACTGTAACATGACTACTCTCCCACTTCTCTCTTCTTCCCACAGGGTGAAAACACACACTACTTCAGTACTGCTTACTAATTATGTGATCATTCCAGGGTCACTGCCAGACTTCACTTTCCTTTAACATTGTGCATGTTATAAATGTAGATTCTCCTTCAAAGAGTTTTCTTTCAATGATAATTCAATTATTTGTGTACTATATTTTTGAGCGTGCAAGTATTTTTTTAAGATTTCAAAAACCTTTAAAAAATTTTCAAATGTGAGATTACATCTACAGTCTTCCAGGCCAAAGATGCAAATAGAATCCATATATACCGACTAGCTGATCACCACGCTGACCGGCTTGACTGCCAGAGGCTTGAGAGCAGTGCCGAGGCACCCTGACATCACACTCTGAGCTGCTTTCTCTTTCACATTCTCGTACTTTTCCAGCTGACAGCCCAGACGGTGGGTACCGATTCTGCCAGCAGCTGCAACTGTAAAGCAACGTTCAGAAATGTCAGATATCCTCCGGGAGCTGCTCCGGGTCTCTGAGAAGGCTGCCAACATTGCCCGGGCGTGCAGGCAGCAAGAAGCCCTCTTCCAGCTGCTGGTTGAAGAAAAGAAAGAGGGAGAAAAAAACAAGAAGTTTGCAGTTGATTTCAAGACCCTGGCTGATGTACTGGTACAGGAAGTTATAAAGCAGAACATGGAGAACAAGGTAAGAGAGGTCACAGCCAAGGGAACTGCAAAGTACTTGCCTGTCTGGCGTTTTCCCCCCTCCTAAAAATCCCTTCAGAATACTAGCACCTTGGATTCCAATAAATGTCTTAGGGATTTTTCTCCCTTGTTTGGATTACAATATTAATACTCTGCTTATTGCAGAAAATCTTTAAGATACAGAAAGGCACAGAAGAAAATAAAAATCACTCACAACTCTCACACCTAGCGATAAACATCTCAGTACAGAGCCTTTCATTTATTAACGAGTTTCTTCCTAGTAAATAATATATGTTCTCTAGAAAATAAGCAAAAATAAGAATCCTCTTAATCTCATCATTAGAGAAGACCCCATAGCTATGTTTTGCTAAATATTGTTAGAACATTTTCCTTCTGTGTGTGTGTGTGTGCGCATGACATGTACAATTTATTTCAACAGGAATGAGAGCATATTGTTTTGTACCCTGTTACTTTTTTAAAATTTTGACATATCAGCCACACCTTTTGGACTTAATAGTTTATATAATAGTTGCCTTGGTTAGGGGCTTATGCCCGGAAACTTATAAAGTCTCCCTTTATTCTAAGAAAAAAGACATTCTTCATAACAATGAAGGTGATTATAAGTATTTTGAACTGACTGGGGAAATAAACTGTATCTATAAGTTGTAGTAATGCTACCAGAAATTATAAATGCTGAGCATGTGCGAGGCACTGTTCTCAGGGCTTTAAGGATGTTAACTTATTTAACTCTTATGACAATTTTATGAGGTAGAAACTGTTATCTCGATGTAATGGGTGAAAAGGGAAGGCACAGAGAGGTTAAGTAACCTGCCTAAGGTTGCACAGCAAGTGAATGGTAGGACCAGTTTTGGGACACAAGCAGAATGGCTCTGAGATCTGTAGTTTTTGTGATACCATATTGCCTTTTATATGATTTAATAGTGGCAGAGATGGATGGATAGATTTGGGAGGATAGACCTTTATGAGCATTGTAAAGTATTGGGATTTTTCCTATGAAATTCTCAAAATATTGGAATCATCTAGAATCATCATAGTGAAATCATGACCACAGGCAGAAGAGAGTAAATGACATCGTGAGATCTCAACAAACTGTCCTTTTTCATGTTGTTTAATATCTGGCTGCAATTAACTAACTGGACTGAGTTTATTTGTGTTTTGTACTTTTCAATATATGTAGTTGAGGGAAGGGATAGTGGAGCAACTGGGTTGGAAATGTACCAACATTAATTTTTATGGGCTAATACTTGCTTCGAAGCATTATAACAAGTTCAAGCAGTTGTTCGTGAATTATATTCCACTTTGAGTATAAAAATATCTTTTTTTCATGACCATTATGTCCTGCATCCTTGGGAGGAAGTCTTTAAAGCAGTTTTTTAACCAGGCTGGAGAGGCGGAGCTTCAGTGCTTGATGAATAGGCTGGTTGCTAGCCTTTATTGACTTCTACTATCCTATAGAAGAGGAAGAAAAAGTAATTGTGGGCATTAGCAAAGCGATTGGCCACCTGCAAATGTCTGGTTTAAACAATTGAAGCGTTTCCTTTTATTCCTCATGAACATCATCCATCTCATAAATCAGCATATATTTCGAGAAAAATTTACTAGTAAGAAGATGAGAAGCAAAATCTGTTAAAAAGCTTCCTGATCACACAGAGATGAAAAAATTCTTGACTCCATTTATTGACCGCATATTCCTGCTTAAATTATTGTCAGTAAAGTATTTCCCTTTTTTCCTACATCACCTTCCTAGCCTGACAGCTAATGATGCCTCCAACAAGTGGTGAAATACTCACCTAAAAATGAAAACAAAATCTAATATCCTGAATCCCTTCTATCCAGGTTTAAGGAATAATTTTAGATACTTGATCAACAATATTAACTCATATAAGCTGCTGGGATGTTGCTCAAAACAAAACATCTGTTTTGCAGATATTCTGGTTCTGTGGCCTTTGCTTGGCAGGATGAAGTTTCTGGAAGGACTTCTGCAAACTGAACATCAGGACATTTACCTGATTTAGACTAGAGGGGGAAGGGAGCAGGACAATTCAGCACTGAACCACGCTGACTTCATTTTTTAGACTTGGAGAAAAAAATTCCACCTCAGAATATCCAGTTTATAGAACTGGAAGCTTTAGAATTGCAAATCTAATTGTGCTTTTTAATTTGAAATATAATCTGTTCAGAATTGAACATGTGTGGGTTTTTTTGTTTTGTTTTGGTTTTTTGTCATATTCTGAATCATTCAGTTTCCAGGCTTGGGAAGAAATATTTTTGGAGAAGAATCCAATGAGTTTACTAACGACTTGGGTAAGTATAAGAACCTGAATGTGTTTGTGACTTAATTATCATAAGACATTCTACTCTCCAATTTATACCATGAAAGAGCTGGATGCTTGGAAGCCTCTTAATATAAACCATATATTTGAATGTTAAGGTGCATTCAATTTCTACCTCAGAATATCATGCCATTTAACTTAGGTAGAGAAATGTGCTATGTTAGAATAATTTAGTGAGTCCGTGTATCATCTTAGATATCAATCTGTAGATTTAGATAAGATTTTATAACTTAGTCTTCGGGAAAATTGCATGGCCCTTTGGGAATCTAATGTAAGTTATCAGCGCCCCAAAGATGTACATCTACACAATTGTGCAGACAATTTCAGATCCTAGCTTTAAACCCATTCGTGGACTCTCTGGGGTGCCCATGGTCCTTGGCTAAGAGTATAGAGCAGGCCCTGGCTGAGACAGATACTGTGTGATCTGGAACAAATCCCCTCATCGTTTCCCTGGGTCTCAGAACCTCTGCAAAGTACTTGGGCTAACTAAAAGATTCCATTTAGTGCCAAGTTTTAAGTCTATTTAGTTTCCCATGGGCAGATTCTCCTTTGATGGGCTTTCATATTCCCTGTGGTTATAGAGGAAATTATCACAATCTCCATCGGATTCTTTTCAGAATAACATTTTTTTTTTAGTTTGTATTTTTTGTTTAATGGTAGAAGATTAAATAGTGAATGGTAAACACTGATCATGTGACAGATAATTAAATATCTAGAAGCACATTTACAAAGAAAAAAATGAATTTCTAGACTGAATTTTTTAGTCTTCTTCATTAGCTATGTATGCTAGTTTTATGACACTCAGTAAGAAAAGGAAATCTCATTTAAACCTGTAAAAGTTTAAAAAAAACCAAAACTCTGATTGACACATAAGAAATCCTGTATCTGAGCCAGGCAGGGTAGGTCATGTCTGTAATCCTAGTACTCTGGAAGGCCAAGGTGGGAGGATTGCTTGAAGCCAGGAATTCAAAACCAGCAAGAGCGAGACCACCATCTCTACAAAAAATAGAAAAACCAGTTTGGCATGGTGGTGCCCATCTATAGTCCCACTTGAGAGGCAGATGCAGGAGGATTCTTTGAGCCTAGCAATGTGATGTTGCTGTGAGCTAGGCTGACACCATGGCTCTCTAGACTGGGTAACAGAGCAAAACCCTGTCTCAAAAAAAAAAAAAAAAAATTCTAAGTTTGACTATCATAAACAGTTATTTTAATACTTCATTTATCTAGAATTAAAGAGGCAAACAGTATTCCACATCCATTTTCCTGTTTGTTGAAAGGGCAGAGAATAATCGTGGAGAGAAGAGGGGAGATGACATCCGCTGTCCATGCAGGCAGGACAGATCATAGGAAGGAGTTGGATTGCATTTCCCTCTGTGATGGGAAGTCACTAGCACATTTTAAGCAAAGGAGTGATACGATTTGCTCCTTTGAATGATCCCAAGACTTTTGCTGAGTCCAAAGTAGGTGTTGAGCAGAAATCATTAGCATTATTATTCCCCAACTCTAAAAGTCTAATTAAATTTGAATTTAACTTAATTGACTATTTCATGCTGATTCCACTATCACTGTAATAGGTTCATACTGTGCTGCACAATTTTACCGATCAAATAATCAGCTCAAGATCTTGTTAAAAATTCGCTAGGTCTGGGGTGGGGCCTGAGATTCTGAATGTCTAATAAGCTTCCAAGTGATATAAATACCTCATCCTCAGAATAGATAGAGCAGCCAGGAGTATTGCCTACCTACCTAAGAAGCCCCAAAGTGCCATGCTTTCTTAATTTTTAATAGTTTTTTGTTTCCTTCATTCCTGTTATTTTTTTTTTTTTTTTGCCATAAAGTTGCCTCTTTTTACCAGCTTCTTCCCTCACTTCTATCTGGAGTTGGGATCCAGATTAACCAAGGGTCTAAGGAGTATGTTCAAAGTGGTGATAGGCTGGGTGTAGTGGCTCATGCCTATAATCCTAGTGACTCAGGATGCTGAGATGGGAGAATCACTTGAGTTCAAGGGTTCAAGGTTGCAGTGAGCTATGATCATACCACTGCACTCCAGTCTGGGCAACAGAGTAGGATCCTCTCTCAGAAAGAAAGAGAGGAAGAGAGGTGGTATTATCACTTGGATGTGGTGACCTCTGATTTCATTTGGAGAAGCAGCTTTGCTTATATTCTCCTTTTTAGTGGATTTCACAGAAGAGAGCTATTTGTATGTATATCATTTAAAGTCATACAGTTTTACTACATTTAAAGATTAGTGTTCATCTTATATAAACAATTTTCACGTAAAAGCAGCATCATAAAAGGGGGTAGAATGTGCTGATTAAAACTCTGTTCTTGGCTCGGCGCCTGTGGCTCAAGTGGCTAAGGCGCCAGCCACATACACCTAAGGTGGCGGGTTCGAATCCAGCCCAGACATGCCAAACAACAATGACGGCTGCAACCAAAAAATAGCTGGATGTTGTGGCAGGCGCCTGTGGTCCCAGCTACTTGGGAGGCGGAGGCAGGAGACTCGCTTGAGCCCAGGAGTTGGAGATTGCTGTGAGCTGTGAAGCCACAGCACTCTACCCGGGGGATAGCTTGAGGCTCTGTCTCAAAAAAAAAAAAAAAAAAACTCTATTCTTTTCAGTTACATAATCAGGCACAAACTGGTTGACCTATGTGTATTAAGTCAAAAGGCAAAATAAGTAAATAAAAGGCTAATGATCAAGGATTCAGGGATTCTTATGTAGTCTATGTATCTCTTAAATTGGATACAAAACGGTGCCTATGTGGACATTTTTCTGGGAGGTCATTTGATTCCTGGAACCCATCCTCACTATTCAGATCACACGCATGAGTGGACACTATGATTTTTATGAAGTCCTTCAGGTGATTCTGACAGTCAGCAGGCTTACCACAGGTATGGAGATATCACCCTCACCTAATCTAGGTGCATAGCTTCTGATGTTCTGTCTCTGTTCTTTCTCCACTGAAGCTCTTGAAATATAATAGCTTTTAGTTTGTATTTGCTCTAGGGGAAAAGATTACCTTGAGACTGTGTTCAACAGAGGAAGAAACAGTAGGGCTTCTTAGCAAAGTCCTTAATGGTAACAAGTCAGCATCTGAAGCACTGGCCAAGGTTGTTCATCAGGATGTTGCCTTTACTGACCCATCTCTGGAGTCAATCGAGATCAATATTCCACAGGACATTTTGGCAATTTGGGTGGATCCCATAGGTAAGTATGGGACATTTGGTTTGCAAATAAGAAATAAATGAAAGCAATCCTTTTTTTTAATTTTTTTGGTTTCAAAAACTGAAAATTGAGAGTGTAGTTTGACTCTCCTACAAATTTTTAAAGTTATAAAGTTTTAAAATGATAAGCATTGAAGTGTCAGGTTATGATATATATTATACATATATGTGTACCTATGTACATAACAGGTGCATGTATATACCAGACACATAATATATATATATATATAATACATATAGGCACATATATAAAAATGAATTAACTCATCTTTAAAAGACTTCCAGGGCTAGACTTGTGAGCAGATGAGAGAGTGAGGTGGAGCAGTTGAGTACACGTGCTATTTAAAGAGCATTTAGCTCCAGCAGATTATTGCCATGTGGCAGTACAGGCCAGATCTTCAGATTTTTAAAGAGAAACCAAAATCCAGACCTTTTTTTGTTTGTTTGTTTGAGACAGAGCCTCAAGCAATCGCCCTGGGTAGAGTGCTGTAGCATCACAGCTCACAGCAACCTCTAACTCCTGGGTTTAAGAGATTCTCTTGCCTCAGCCTCCCGAGTAGCTGGGACTACAGGTGCCCGCTATAACACCTGGCTATTTTTTGGTTGTAGTTGTCATTGTTTGGCAGGCCCAGGCCAGTTTGTAACCCATCAGCTCTGATGTATGGGGCTGGCGCCTTAGCCGCTTGAGCTATAGGTGCCACTGCAAAATCCAGATTTTTACATGTCAAATCCCAATTTTTAGCCATTAGCTCCTAATTCAGTTAAATAAAGAAACAATCAAAAACACTGTAGAGGTGAAGCAAAACCAGCTGAATGTGACCCATGAGCAGTCAATGCTGTGTAAACCTTATCATTAATTTTTGTAATTATTCTGGTAGAACTATAATCTATAACTCATTGTTTTAAAAATATAATGCTTATCCCCAATAGAACTGTATATGCAAAGTCTTGAATCTTAATTTTAAGAAGTTCCCCTTCTTTTTTTTCCTTTCCCATCTCCTTGACACATTCCACCCAATACAAGGAGACCCTTCATTATCCTGAACTCCTCTTAACTCTTCCCATCCTATAAGCACATTAACACGTTATATTAACGGTATATATATATTATATATATGTATATACATATACCACATTATATATGTATATGTATGTATTAATGGGTTTATTCATCAGAGAATTCTATAACGTGCAGCCAAAGATTATATATGGGACCCAAGAATGTTTCCCCAAATCTTTTATCTCTTAAGGGTAAATTGGCATCCGTTATGGTTTGTGGGGCACAAGGATCCCCTGTTTCTTGGTTCCACCCTAAACTGATTCTGTTTCGTTTGGACCTTTTACTAGGCACGTCCTTAACTGAGTGTTAACTCACTGGATGTTGGCAGTCACCTGCTGACATATATTAATACATCTCTTAAGGGGAAACATCGCTCCTCTGCCTCTTCTTCACAGGAGCACCATTGATTTCTTCCCTTGGTGCCATCATTGTCTCTTTCTTCTAACTTAAGGGATCAAATAAGAATTATAAATGATAATTGAACCTGTGACAGATTCCTGGAATGAGCCTTTTTCCATCACACATTGAACTAGTCCTCTAATTAGTAACAGTTCTAAAATAATTCCACCATTATCCTAAGTTATTAGCTTTTCAGCGTTTTTGACAAGTGACAAATATTTGAGTGCTTATTATACGCCGGATGCCACAGAACTACAGACATGTCTTCTCCTTTCAGTTCTCACAGAGTAAGGAAATGAAACATAAACAGTTTAAAAGTGAAATACAAGCTGTCAAATAACAATTCAATACAACTGACATCCAATGGTAAAACCTGGTCACTGAATTAGAAGAGACAAATGAAGTAGGACAGAGTTTATAAGATGGATTCATCATCATCTTCCAAATAATTGTTACCTGAATCCAAACACATCTGCTTCATTTTTCAGATTCAACTTACCAGTACATAAAAGGTTCTGCTGATGTCAAATCCAACCAAGGGATCTTCCCCTATGGACTTCAGTGTGTCACTGTTTTAGTTGGTGTCTATGACAGACAGACAGGGGTGCCCCTGATGGGCGTCATCAACCAGCCTTTTGTGTCACAAGACCTAAACACTCTCAGGTAAAAGATAGATGCTTCTGGTACATTGTGATTTCTAGAACTTATCTGCTTGTTGGAATTTTCAATCCCAGATTTGGCATAATTTTATCTGGGGTATTTTCAAAGAAATACTATCTTGGAAAAATTATGGTTTTACATGATTTCTGTTCCTTGTTTCTAGATTCCACTCAAAACCAGATGAATGGTGGTAACACTGCCTTCCAATACACATGGAACAAGACAGATGTCATCACCATTTAGCCAGTTGAACTTTTGTATAATTTTAGCAAAATTCAGCTAAGGCACCTGTGGCTCAAGTGGCTAAGGCACCAACCACATACACTTAAGGTGGCAGGTTCGAATCCAGCCTGGGCCTGCCAAACAATGACAGCTGCAACCAAAAAAAAATAGCCAGGCGTTGTGGCGGGCGCCTGTGGTCCTAGCTACTTGGGAGGCAGTGGCAGGACACTCGCTTGAGCCCAGGAGTTGGAGGTTGCTGTGAGCTATGATGCCACGGCACTCTACCCAGGGGGATAGCTTGAGGCTCTGTCTCAAAAAAAAAAAAAAAATTTTAGAAAAATTCAAAATAAAATGTAAGAATTATCAAATTAAAAGATTAGTAGGTATCGCCAGCTTAGAACCCAATTATGGGGTAACTCCTTATAAATGCCATCGGCATCACTTCCCTTTCTGCCTCCTCCCTCTCCACCCTTTCCATGGCCCCTGAACAGAGTGGAGAGGATAGTCAGGACCCGGGGCCTCTGATCCATGGCCTGTGCTTTGGGATTGATTCCAGGGCATGGCAGAGCCCAGTGAAAGAAGCAGCTTGTAATTTTTTATTGAAATAAGTCATATTTTTACACTTATATAGGACTGTATGTTTTTATTGAACTTTGAGTTTTACACTTATATTAGATGGTATGCTTTTATTGAACTTTGAGTTTCTTCAGGTGAGAATTGTTTGATTTTTAATAGTTATAAGTTTTTGCCCCTGAAATTTTGATAACTTTTCTTCTACCACTGCCTCTCCCAAACCAGAAATGTGTTTGTTACCTTTTAAAGGTCATTAAGAAATTTAAAAGAATTGGGACAATATGCAGACAGACTTGGAAGTGGTTAACTAGGTAGTTACACAGATTCTGGAATGAGACTGCCTGAGTGTAAGGGCAGATTCTACCACTTACTAGCTGAGTAAGTGAGCCTCATCAAGTTATTTATATTCTGTATGCCTCTGTTTCCTTACCTGTAAATAGTAAGTCAAGCATTGATAAATTTAAGGTGCCATTATTATTGTTGTTACCAAAAATTATAACTTTATAACATTGTAAGTCTATCTTTCTTGGTGTTAAAAGCTAAAGTAAAACCAGTGAATAAGAAAATGAAGAGATGTTACCAAATGAAGAAAGCCTTGTTATAAGGATTGTAAGAAGACTTGCAAATTTAAAAGAGCTATCATTTATCTCAGGGGTCCTCACACTTTTTAAACAGGGGTCCAGCTCACTGTCCCTCAGATCATTGGAGGGCCAGACTGCAAGTCTCAGGACAAGTTGGCTGCTAAGCAGGACAGGCAGTGGTGGCAAAAACACCCGGTGGGCCGGATAAATGTCCTTGGCAGGCTGCATGTGGCCCCCGGGCCATAGTTTGAGGACACCTGATTTATCTCTTTATCTTTTGCCCTATTACACTTTAAATGCCAAAAATGATAATGAAATTTTGCAGTAGTTCTGGAAGCTGGAAATGCCACAGATACATTAATGCTGTCCTACATTGATATAATACAGTAAAATCAAAAGCATTCCTAACTCTGCAACAAGTACATGCCTCTTATAACCTTTATGCATCAACTAGCTGCTTGGTAGCTATTGCTAGACTTAAGAAGGTTGAGACTCACTGTGTTATGTTATTGTTTATTTTTTCATATTAAGTTTGAAGGCAACATGAATAATGGAAAACAAACACAATAATCACCTACCAACTGAAATTTTCCTTCTACAGGTGGAAAGGACAGTGCTACTGGGGCCTCTCTTACCTGGGGACCAACATCCATTCACTTCAGCACGCCATCTCTGAAAGAAACAGTGGTGAGGCTCAGCCCAGCAACACCAGCTCCGACGTGGAATTCTCTCAGCGTTTTTCAGCAGTCATCAGTACAAGTGAAAAGGAGACTGTCAAAGCCGCCTTGTCACGTGTCTGTGGAGATCGTGTGTTCCGGGCAGCCGGGGCTGGCTACAAGAGCCTTTGTGTTGTCCAAGGCCTTGTTGACATTTACATCTTTTCAGAAGATACCACGTTCAAGTGGGACTCTTGTGCTGCTCATGCCATACTGAGGGCCATGGGTGGGGGAATAGTAGACTTGAAAGAGTGCTTAGAAAGAAACCCCCAAATGGGGCTTGATTTGCCCCAGTTGGTATACCATGTAGAAAATGAGGGTGCCACTGGGGTTGATCGGTGGGCCAACAAGGGGGGACTAATTGCATATAGATCCAGGAAGCGCCTAGAGACGTTCCTGAGTCTGCTCATCCAAAACCTGGAACCTGTGGAGGCACAGACATAGATTCTGACCTCAGTGCGTGTGTATATGTGTATAAACTGAACTGTGAAACTGCTTCCCATTATCTCTGTCTTTTGGAGATAGCATTGTCCTATTGCTGGTTAATATTCATCTTCCTTTTTTGAGGAACATTTTTCCATTATGTGTTCATAATAATGTTAACATCAATAAATTAATACATCTATGCAAAAATTAAATTGATATATGAGATTCTTACAGTAAATGCCATGTTTCCCCAAAAATAAGACCTACTCAAAAAATAAGCCCTAGCAGGATTTCTATGCATTTGTTAAATATAAGCCCTACCCCGATAATAAGACCTAGTGATGGGGCATTTGGGGCAGAGCAGTAAGGAAGACTAGAATACCTTTTATCTGCCACAGCTCCTTTCTCCGAGCCCATGGCACTTGTGTGGGTGCGTGAGTGGTAACCATGGTCGCAGGCATCCTATTGTGCACATGGGAATGGCTAGGGGAAAGGAGTTCACGCATCCCACCAACAAGGTCGGCTCCCCTGTCAGGTTCCAGAAGAGGATGACTTAACTGTATTTGAATAAATGTAGATTGTTGTATTATACTTAATAATAATAAGACATCCCCTGAAAATAAGCCCTAGTGTGTCTTCTTGAGGAAAGAATATAAGACAGTGTCTTATTTTCAGGGAAACACGGTATTGTGTTATTAAAGTGTTTCAAGGAACATTAATAGCATACTGAAGAAAGGGGCAGGGCCTGATCAATTAAACTACTCTAAACATCTTAATAAGAGAAACATCTCTGAACTATAAGAGAACACAAGAAAGGGCTGCTTGGGTTTTGTTTCCTGTCTTAAAGAGAAAATCTGCAGTCAGAGCCTGTTGGCAGAACACTTAGAACTGCAGATTTGCATAATTTAGCCACATGCGTGTACTTTGAGCAGTATTCTTGTTTCTTACAGGAAGTAAAGCCTGGAGCACTATGGGCTCCCCCCTTCACAGAGACAGTAAGGGATGGAGAGACAGGGACAATGACATACAAGACACAGAGAGAGAGAAAGAAAAAGACAGTAAAAGACAGACAGACTCCATTTCTATAGGTGAGGCAGAAGAGGGTAGAGTAAAAAAGTTTCTGCAATTTTATACGTATTTGCCACACTTCACCAAAAACAAGAGGTTAGGTATTTAGTTACATACAACCCTTGTGCCTACCAGCATTCCACAGCGAATGTTCTCTGAGGTGACGACTGACCACTTTTTCTGTTCCCTGCTAACCAGGTTGTGCCACCCAGAAGGCTCAAACCCTCAGCCCTCACTTCTTTTTGCCCTGCGCCCTCTGGGGGCCAAAGGCTATTTCTACAGATACTTGAAAAACAAAAAAAAAAAAACAAAAAAACCAAATAGCCAAGGTTCCGTGGGGTGGCCACACATAGGCCAATGCCTCCGTGGTTGGTCAGGGGTATCTTGGGGATAGAAAGTGCCTTCTTTGGCATCCTAAGCGCCGAGAACTGCCTCCCGCACAGTCAGGGACTTGAGAGCCTCGCTCCCTTGCTCACCTTGCCCTTGGTATGCCACACCCCAAAAGCTGCCCTTATGACCTTCAAGGAGAGTCACCACACGGCCAGGCATCTGGTGGCTGCCCCGATGGAAGGTGTCTCCTGGCCAGAAACGGCCGCCATAACCGCGCGAAACCCACTCGGCTGTCGCTATAAGCGCAGTCGGGCCTGCACACCTGGGAGCTGTACCAGAAAATCCACAAAGAATCGCAATGGTCCCGGGGGTGCGGAGCGGAGGTCGGAGGGGACAGTGATGCGGGCAGGTGTTCGCGGCTCTCTGCTTCCTGGTGCCGGGCTCAGGGATGGGCCAGGCGGCCTCCGCCTCTGGGGCGGACTCCAGCTTGGGCCCCCGAAGGACCGACGGACGCTCCTGCCTGGCCTGGCACCTCTTGGCCGCTGCAGCTCTCTACGGATACTTTTTCTACAATTACAAACGAATGGAAATTAGTCCAACTCTTCTTTTCTAATGTCCCTAAACTTAAATTGACAAACAAAAATTGTATATTTAAAAACTTTTGAAATATACATACATCATGAAATGGCTATACCAAGTAATTAACATTCATTACCTCGTCTTCTTTGTGTGGTGAGAATGGTAAAATGAACTGCTGGTAACGATCAGGTATACAATACATTGTTATCAACTATAGTCACTACCAACCATGGTGGAGGCCAAAGTAAATCCACCATGGACGCTAATCAATCATGCCGCCTTCTGATTAACCCTAGGTCCAGGATGCCATCAAAGATTTTGACTTGTGTCTACCTGGCCCTTAAGTCAAGATAAACTCGATGTTAATCAATTACTCTACACGCTCCCTCTGAAGCACATATCCCCATTTCCTACAGTATGTAAGCCCTGTTTATGGGGAGTCACAGAGCCGGGAGCCTCCATCTGTTGGCCATCCGGACTTGGCTTCTGTTCTTACATCCCTATGAAGTGTTTCTTTCTTAGAAACTGGATTTGTCAGCTTCTTTCTTGGGCTTCTCAACTCCCTTGGCCTTTGGGGTAGGTTTTCATAGACCTCAATGTAGAACATTACCATGTTGTACACTAGAACTTTTGAATATTCCTCCTGTCTGACTAAAATGTTGTATCCTTTGACTAAGATCTGCGAAACTCCCCCATCCCTCCTAGTCCCAAGAAACCACCATCCCGCTGTCTCCTTCCCTGCATCATCCTCACTAGATTCCACACAGAAGCAAGATCATGTGGCCTTTCTGTGCCTGGCTTACTTCACATAACTTAACGTCCTTTGGGTTTATACATGTTGTTATATGACAGGATTTTTAAAATTCTTTTTATGGCTGAACAGTAAGTATTCCATTATGTATGTATACCATAATTTATCCCTTCGTCCACTGATAGATACTTAGATTGATTCCATATCTTGGCCATTGTGAATAATGCTTCCATGAACTATCTCTGCTACTTACTGATTTAATTTTTTTTAACAATATTTTGTTGCATTCAGAAGATTCATTATTTAGGGATAGGGTTACAGTTTTTAAAGGTCTAAATTGTGCTTTGTGATTGATCTTGGGCTCTCAAACTGTACATTTATATCACTTACGGTCTAATTATAAAGGTTAAGCCAAGGTGAATTCATTCTTCACACAATACATTAGAAATGAAAACCCAGGACCCTCACTCATTCCCATATGCACCAGAATGGAGAAATAGAATAGGGTTCAAGGAAAAGTACTTGCTGTTAGTATGAACATTTTTAGTGTATGTAAATTATCAATAACATGCACTGAAAATAGTTGCCTTCAACATCAGAACAGTTCCTCAATTGGAGGGAGAAAAACTGGATAGAAGAGGGAATCAGATACATTCTATGAACATCTGTTCCATACACTCACTGTCAATGTTTGTTTGCAGAAAAGCCAAGGTTTTCTTTAAGCATGTTTCTGTGGACCAGTCTGCATTGTTTTTCTTGCATAAGGCACAAGCAGATGAGTATGATTTCTACTTTTAATTTTTTTTTTTTTTTTTTT